AGAAAGAAAGAAAGAAAGAAAGAAAGAAAGAAAGAAAGAAAGAAAGAAAGAAAGAAAGAAAGAAAGAAAGAAAGAAAGAAAGAAAGAAAGAAAGAAAGAAAGAAAGAAAGAAAGAAAGAAAGAAAGACAGACAGACAGACAGACAGACAGACAGACAGACAGACAGTTAAAATCCACAAATACATTGAAGTTCATCAATGTTGTTAGGTATCATTGCGATGCGGCTTGGCGACGCCTTTGCCTAATCCTTTACCTCCCTTTCGTCGGCCAGACATGTTGGATAGATTAAATAAACAAAAGTGGGGTGGCAGGGGAAACCTCAAACTTCTCTCATCGACTTCCGCTGCCGCCCTTTTGTGTTAACGTGGCGTTTAATTTAATCTTTATTTTACTTTATTTTTACATTTATCAATTAACACAATTTTTAATTTTTTCATTATTTTTTTTTTCTTTAAATAAAACATTTTGGTGATGCGGACGTTGACAGTGTGAAGACAAACTGACATAAATACGCTATTAAACATGGTGGAATGTGTGATGCCCCATGGAGTGAAATATGGAAATGATTGGGACGATAAGTGGCATGGTGTGAAAAGGCAAGCAAGACATACAAATAATACATGAAAATCAACAAGATGGCGGCTTTCTCCCTTCTGACTTTTCCGCGCCCTTGTTTGCCGTTTCTTCCCTGGAAGGAGAAGAAAGACATCTTAAGCGTAGACACTGTCTAGAGTCTGTGACGCCATTGTGTAGATACATATGTATATATATATATATAAGTATTTATTTACAAAGGTTATTTAACATCAGCTATCATGAGGGAATGGGGCAGAGGAGGTGGGAAAAACAGGGGGGGGGGAGATGGAGGGGGAGGAGGTGGAGGTTGGGCAATATCGCGTAATGCCTATGTGGATTTAAGTTCTGTTTGTTTAACCTTAATCTTTGCAATATTTGAGTTTTAGTTTATTTTTAGTTAAGTACCGTAGGGATGTGTTTTTTAGGTTTGATCTATTAGGGTTTGTATGTTTGCTCTAAATAATGTTTCTAGCAACTTTTCTGTGTACTTGTGTTTGTTAAAATTGGCGTTTTGTCTGCACTGCCAAATGTGTTGCCTGTATTCCGCCAACAGTTGGAGGCTGATGACATGTTGGGTTTTATTAATCGACGTAGGGATACTAAGAGCGCTTACTAATACTACGACTCTTCAATTTCAATCATCACATAGAATAATAATATATCGGCCCTTTTCAGGGCCTCCCATTCGTACCAAGATTGGCGCGATTTGAGTTATACGCCCGCCCACTACGAGTTTCCTGCCCCTACCCTACCCCTACCTTTGTTATTGTTGTCATTGTAATTCTAACACTAATAATACTAATTCTGATTAAACAATAAACTCTCATTAGTATTAGTATTACTACGACTATTTTAATTAGGTATTAGTAACGGCTACCGGTAACAGTATTATTATTATTAGTATTGGTTTAACGTGTGGCAGTGAACTGCCTGTGCAGTCATTTATTTCAATCTAGCTCACCAGTTCTGCCGTACTTGGTGATCGAGATTAATATCAACAGTAATATTGTTAATTATATGTTCCTTACCCCGGTACTTGAGTGCTTTTGTTTGTACCGGTACACTTACATACTGTGATACCGGTACGGTACAACAAAGGTGATGACTAGTGCTAGTACTAGTTATCATTATCATGATGATCATTGGGGTATTTTATAGAAACATCTTCATCGGTTCTTGGCATATTGCACTTATATTACTTATATTACTTATATTACTTATATTACTTATAAAAATAAAATACTACAATTATTAATTGCCACGGTATTACTATGAAGTATTACTACTATTACTCTTAGGTTTACTCATTCACTCATTCCACTGTACCTGAGTACCGGTAGCAATATATTATTAATGATCCATATCTATTAACTACCGGTATTAACGATTAGATACAACCACAACTAAGCACAGTTATAGTTGTACGATCAGGAACTCAATTGCTTGTTTTAGTTTCAGTTTTAGCCAACACCAGATCAATAACAATAACAATAATTATTGTTTCGTTTCTGATGCAATTTAAATCAATGAAACACTAATAAAACAATCAACTCTCATTAGTACAGTGTTACTAGTATTATTAGGAACAGTATTGTGTTAGTGTTAGTGTAAGTATTAGTTTTACGTATGGCGTAAACTACCACTACTGGCGCAGCGGTGCAGTCATTTCAATCTAGCTCACCAGCAGTGGCGTAGCGAGGGTGTTTGGCGCCCGGGGACAAGATTCGCGCCCGGGGACAAGATCCATTTTTAGCGCCCCTTTTTCTTTTTTTCAACTCTCAAATCCATTATCATTATTTTCATCCATAAACCTATTATTATTATTAACCTAGTATTATTATTATTATTACTATTTTTATTATAATTTTTATTATTATTACTATTACTATTATTAATATTATTATTATTTATTATTATTATTATTATTATTATTATTATTATTATGGTTATTATTACTAGTATTATTATTATTACCCTAGTATTATTATTATTATTACTATTAATATTACTATTTTTATTATTATTATTATTATTATTATTACTATTATTATTATATTATTTATTATTATTATTATTTATTATTATTATTATTTATTATTATTAGTATTTATTATTATTATTATTATTATTACTATTATTATTACTATTATTATTAGTACTATTATTATTATTATTATCATTATTATTATTATTATTATTATTGCTATTAATATTATTACTCTTATTGTTACTATTTTATTACTATTACTATTATTACCAATAATTATTACTATTATTATTATTACTATTATTATTACTATTATTATAATTATTATGTTACTATTACTATTATTATTATTATTATTTTACTATTGCATGTATCTAATTAAAATTAGCATTTATAAAGACTTCTGAATCTTGGTGAGCTGAGAGGGTGTGTGGGTGAGGGCTGGTGTTAAATATGACCAGGCTGGCTATTTATCAGCTACTCAATGGTTGTTGTTGTTGCTGCTGTTTTGTTGTTGTTTTTTTTTCTATGAGAATCAGAATATTCATCACTGGGGCAGGGGCAGGTGCACATCATTATAATTATAATTATAACTATACATGAAATTTAAAACTATAAACTACCTACGGCTACTGTATAGTAATAGTATAGGCATAGGGATTCACTCAAGCTTGGGGCGAGCGCTCTACAATATGGTTAATATGTATATGGGAAGGGGATAATTCATGGATCAGTATGAACAAAAAATACACAGCAGACTATTTATTTGATGTATGATATATGATATATGATATATTATTATATTTATATAACATACATTTCTGAATTTTCTTTTCTGATAGTGATG